CATCGAACTTAGTAACTAGGGTTATAAGTTTTGAGGCAACTGTACTAAGTAAGCCCAATTCAGGTACTTATAACCCTACTTGCTAAGTCCCTTGAGCATATGTAGACAGTACTACTGAATAGTCTAGGGCCCCAAAGAAGCGCATAAGCAACAAATAGGATGGGGATCTCAAAAAAAGGGGTTGAGAGGGTTCTGGGGCTTTAGGGAGCTTAGGGCTCAGAGTTTAGAGGGGGTTTGGGGTCGGCTCCTGATATCGGCTAGGCTTGCGCCGGGAGCTGCGCGTTCACGCCGGCCTTGCCCTGAAGAGCTCATGAGGCCTGCTCCTGGAATGAAACCCGCTGTGGCGCCATGGCCAGGAGTAAAAAGGCCGTGGCCGTAAGAGGAAGTGGCGCCAGCCTTCATATGCGGCGGAAGCACCGTAGGGTCGAGTGGATTGATCCAACCGGGCCCCTGTTTTTTGAGACAAGTTCACTTGGTCCAGGTGGTCCCGGCCCGAGGCAGCTGCAGGCAGTAGCTGGCAATCGAGCTGTCCACCAGGGTCAGCTTGTGAGGAAGTTCCTTTAGAGGGACATGTAGAACAACTCGGAACCCACAAGAACACGCACAGGGTTTGCATATACAGGTTCTGTAAGGGTTTACTTTGGGTAGTTATAAGTAGGGTTATATGCAGGGTATCTATAGTTACACCCCACATTAGGGGACATGTAACCCCATTTATAACTACCAATCAACCTCCAAGTATAACATTGTAGAAATTCGTATAGAACACCTGTAATCGCTTCCCCCTAATATTCAAACGGGGAGCCCCCAATCCCCCTAATAAAAACTCGGAAAGTTTTTTTATTATTAGGGGAAATGCTTGTCTCTACTACTGCCACTTTTGACGGGTCGTGCTCTTGCTCCTGCTCTGGCTCTTGCTCCCGCGCTGGCTTTTGCTCCTGCTTCTGCTGCATCTCTTGCTCCTGCTCCTGCTCTTGCCGTTGCTCCCGCTTTTGCTCTTCCTCTGGCTCTTTTGCCCGCTCTTGCTTTTGCTTTGCTCTTGCTGCTGGTCTTGCTGTGCTCCCGCTTTTGCTCTTGCTCCTGCTCTTGCTCTAACTCCTGTTCTTGCTTTTGCTCTTGCTGTGCTCTAGTGGTATTTGGAGCCTCGAAACCCTCCGCCCTTGATTCAGAATAGGTTTTAAAGAGCATGGCTGATTTCGGGAGGATTTGCCACAATGTGTTTTTTTTAATTAGCGGGTTGTTTAAAAAAAAGAGGTACCTTGCATAAATCAGCCCTCAAGCGAAGCCGTTAATGCTATTTAAACACCCCGAGCCTGTGTCAATCCTCAACCCCTACTACACCCCAAACCCTAAACCCTAAGCCCGTAAAGCTACCTTTAAAGGAGCCCTAAAACCCTTAAGTATCACTCTAGATTTAAAGGAGCCCTCAAACCCTTAAGTATCACTCTCCCTGAAAGGAGCCCGCTACCTGCAATCCCTGATTGCGCCTGCGCGACGGGCGCATCCTGCCCGGTCTTCTGCGCCTGCCCCTCCAAGAGCCTCGGTTACATCCGCTTAATTAAGCTTAGGGGCCGAGTACCTCAGCCCAAAAAAGGTTAACCTTTTGAATTATAATTAATAGGTTTATATAACCCTAAACCCAAAACCCTAAAGCCTAAACCCTAAAAGCCCCAAAAGGTTAAAGGTTGCCTACTCAGCCCCGAAGTAAGTTCACTGCGTTTGTGCCCCTCAAGGGTCAGCGACTATAGGGTTTTAGTGTTTAGGGCAAAGTTTAGGGTTTAGGGTCTTAGTGTTTAGGGGTTCAGGGGTTCAGAGGTTTGAGGTGTAGGGCTTATAGGGGTGGTTTCAAGTGTCTAGGAGGTTCATCTCGAAATTCGTATAACAGAATTTCTAGGCGGGCTCTAAAACCTGCAGTTAGAGTTGCGGTAAAACCTCAGAACATCATAAAACTAACAGGTCGCAAGACGTGAGCCATGCTATCAAGCCGAAAACCTACACCCATACCCATTACTGCTTTGTAGGGTTGGGGCTGCAAACGGGGCCTTCGGATTTACAGTCCAAGGGTGAGGAATCAGCGCTGAATGTAGGAGCCTTGATAACTCGGACAGGGCTTAGGGCCAGTTTTGGTGTATACTGATGTTACGAATAAAGCTACCAATTATGCCAAGCCCTCTATTCGAGCTTGATATAAGCTTCGGAGACAGCTCTATGGGAAAATACCCAGAGATTCAGATTCCAAGATTGCACACTTGCGGTAAACTCCTTCAGTGACAGTGAAGATCCTTATTTAACTACGGGGCAGGAAGTAGGGTCTCCTGAATAGCATTAAAAACCACAAGATCCTTGGTTGTTGGTTGAAGGCTTAGAAGTTTAGGGGATCCCTTTGTGCGGCTCAACCCTAAAACCTTGGGTACTGCCCCCATACAGTAACAGTCCATAATCGGGCTTCTATTATATAAGGGCCTCATATATCCATATTATGAGTATTACGCAACTGTTACTGAGTGAGGGCAAGTACCCAACCTAAACCCTACACTAAACCCTAAACCCTAAACCCTAAACCCTAAACCCCTATAAACCCTAAACCCTACACCGTGGCTCAATGCAGGGTGGGCGGCTTCTCGTAGATCGTGCACGACCGCGACGGCACCACCTCTACAAGGCGCAGGAGAGCTTGTAAAAATAAGGGATTTATGGTACCATATAGATATATATATATATATACATATATCTATATATATATATCTATATATGTATATATATATATGGTTTAGGGGTATAGGGTTTAGGGCATTCTTATAAAGATGCTGTAATAAATTTGGGGCCTAAACAGGGTCCCTAATTTGGAGACCTACCCATATTGGCGTTGGTTCAAGGCTTTGGGGCGTTGGTTTCACGGTTTGCGGTCCAGGGCTTAGAGTTGAGTAGTTAGGGGTTGCGTTTGCATTGGCTTTCAAGGGTTGAGGATTAGGGGTCAAGCGAAATGGGTGAGGAAGCTACACTCCTGCAGCTGGTATTACCTAGATCCCTAGACCCTAAAACACTACCGCCCCTCAGCCCCAAGCCCCTAAAGACTCAACAGAGCCCCAAAAGAAATAGATAAATCAACCCCCATGAACCCTACCTAGAGGGTTATACCCTACCCCTTCTTAGGGCAATTACCTACTTTTCAATAGCAGATCTAGGCATAAGGGGTGAGGTATGACCCTCTAGGTAAACCCTACACCCAAGCCCTAAACCCGAAGCTTCTGCTGAATTCGCGCTTGCACACTTCTTCCTTCGCCATGACGAAGGTCAGGTCTGAAGATGTAGGTAGTTCTCTAAATTAGGACCATTTTTTAAGTCCCAAATATAGTACGACACCCTTATAAAAAGGACCCTAAGAGACCCTATTTTAGAGAACTACCCATGTGGTTGCAAAAAGGTTCGCGACGGGTTGATTTGGGGTTGAGGGTCTAGGGCTTTGGTTTAGAAGGGTTTCGTGCACCACCCGAAACATCCCTAAACCCCAAACCCTAAACTAACTGCCCTCAACCGCAGTTCTAGAGTTTTGAAGAACTTGGTTGTTGGCCTTGACGGTTTGGAACTGGCCTTTGCGGGTTTAGGAACTTAAGCAAGCCGCTTAGCGTTTCGAGTCGCAGACCATACACATTGATACACACCCTAAACCCTAAACCATAAGAGTTCCGGGCGTAGGGGCTTAGCTCGCAAGGCTGAGATCTGAGGGCTCATGAAGACTTCAAAAAACAAAGCGCGAAGGCTTGCGTTTCCCAAAGGGTCCTAAGTACCTATGTAGTATATGTAAGGTTTCAAAAGTAGAAATTGCCATTAATTATGATTTGGGCAATAATAACCCTAAACCCTAAAACCCTACACCCTAAACCCTAAAACCCTAAACCCTAACCCCTAAACCCTAAACACCAAACCCTAGCTAGGACCCGGTGGCTTTTCGAGCTCGGCACTCCGAGTCGAGCCATCCGTCTGCCGCGTCAAGCGCCTCCTGGAAAATGCAAGCACCCAACTACCCTAAAGGCATGCTTACCTGCACATTGAGTGTGTATGTATGTGTGTATATATATAATAATAATAAGAATAATAATAATAAATAATAATAATGATAATAATAATACTAATAATAATATGTATATAATATAATATAAGGTTTATACTTATAAGGAACACTAACCCACTATGTAATTAGGTATCCCGGCTCCTAGGGAGGTGTAGACTCAGCCTGTTCTTCGAACCCGCGGCCTCGAAATTGAATCTCCGGCAGCTTGGATCTGCTAGGATGAAGCCAGCAGTCCGTCCACCTGCAACTCCTCGTCTCTGCAGCAGACGACAACTGCCGGCAAAGAAGCGGCTCTGCATATTGAGAATCGCTGAAGCACCTGCATTCCCAGGTCAATCCGCAGCTCGGCGGAATCATTCCAAGCAGCATGCCGCCAAAGCCAATTATGAGCAGCTCGTCGATATCTGTTGTCATGGAAGCGCTTGATGCTTGAAGCGATCTTCCTGACAACTATAGAGGCACTAATAACTAGAATAGGGCTTTGGGGGGTATGTTCTACGAGGGGATAAGATTGATAAGCATCCAGAAACCACAAACCGCAAACCAATTATTCAGACTCCTACAGTACGGCACTTCGACTTCACTGTCCTCCTCAAGGGCTTCACCCTCACACAGGCCGGGAGGGTGAATCCTGGCTTCTTGCTCATCTACTACAAGGGTTACTCGACGGGATACTATATGGTTTCGGGTTTAGGCTTCTTTTTAAAGACCTCACCTGCTACAGGGGCTACTAGAAGGGTTGCTATATGGTTTCGGGTTTCGGCTTCTTGTTAAAAGACCTAGCTTAACTTACCATGATAGGGATCCCCGATGTGAAGCCGAAATTAAATTAGTAAATGATAATCTGCTATGGTACCCGTTTTCTTGTTATGGTAATTTGAAAAACACTCCTTAACAAGAACCCAGAGACGAAGTGAAGCTGCTGGAATCATGTCCGCCATCTTGCGCGGTGAGCGAACTGCCAGGGCAGCCTTGTCGCCCTCCTGTGCAGCTTTTCCTTACGGGGTTCCCGCACAAGCATAGCAGCTCACAGTTTGAGATCCGGAAGCACGGGGTGATAGGGTTTAGGTGTTTTGCACCCAAACACTACCCTATGGGTCCAAGTACTATAATAGTCCTATACAATTAGTATCCTATATAACTACTATCCGAAACCTAAGTACTATTGGGTCCTTTGGACCCTTAGGGAAAGAGACTGACGGCCACCTTCTTTGCAGCGAAGTTTCATTTGCATGTAGCCCACCACTTCGCTGTTTCGAAGCCATGCTGTCTAGGAGCTTCCGTGGCAATCGCTCTGAAAGTGCAGGGATGGCTGCTAAGGCAACGGGAGCTGCCTCTTGGAGGTTTCCAGAGGCCCAGAAGCAGTTCGACAACTCTTGCAGACTCATTCCATCTGCCTTTCCCGGAATGGCGCTTGCGATTGCAGGAACCGCTCTGAGCACTGCTGGTGCTGCATGTTGCAGATACGCAGCTGCCCACAAGCAGTTCGAAAGTGCTTGTGGGATCATGCTGTGGACTTCCGTGCGTATGCGATCAGCCACCCAGGGGACGAAGGTCAGAACGTCCGGCGTGCTTTCTTGCAGGTTTGCTGCTGCCCACATACAGTTCGACAGATGCTGTGGCAACCTGGTTCTTTCTGAGGAGCTCATTCAAAGTTTAATAAGCTCACATAATCACTAAACAGAACCGTGGTATCGACTACACTTCTCTCTATTAAACTACGATGCAAAATCTTATAGGCAACTTAAACTACGATGCGCTAAACCCTAAAGGGCAAACCCTAATGCCAAAACATACAAGAAAACAAACTCGTGGCATGTTCTCCACTTTCCCCGGTACGCACTGAGCCATGGCAGGCACAGCTGCAAGCACGCCGGGCGAAGCCTCCTGAAGGCTCGCAGCCGCCCAGAGGCAGTTCGACAAGTCCTTGTTTAGGGTTTAGGGTTTAGGGTGTAGGGTTTTAGGTTTAGGGGTTTAGGGTTTAGGGTTTAGGGTTTAGGGTTATGGCCAGACAAGGATAATATGGGAAGCTGATTTAGAAACCTTGGGCCTTCATCAGGGCTCCTTATACGGATCCAAATATTTTGGGGTTATTCTGCCAGGGTTTCTTAATCAGGTTCCTGCATAAACCCTTTCTAATGCAGGCATTACAGATTCAAGTTATACTACGATGTACTACGACTATGATGACCCTGGTTTTCGTACATACATGCAGATTGATGTAATCATGTGCTGTCCTACAACTATTCATCCGCTAATATATGAGTGTGTGATTATGAGAACAATCATTATCTACTAAACCCTAAACCCTAAACCCTTATCTACCCAGCTGCACTCAAGAAGTCCTGGGGGTTAAACTCCGAAACCCTTCGCGGGATGCGCGCTGCAACCACGGAGACCACGGCCAAGGCTTCAGGGGCCTTCTCGTGCCTCGGCGGCCGTTAACATACGGGTTTAGGGTCTATAGGGTTCAGGGTTTGGGGTTTAGGGTTTCGAGTTTGGGGTTTATAGGGTTTAGGATTNNCCGCCTCCATCCCCTCCTCACCGAAAAGAAATAAACAGAAGGATCCTTTATAAAGTGTGGGTAAGAGGACCTCGATAAGCCTTACCTTGAACTCCCAAAAGCTACTTTGTCCAGGGTCCCTGTGATTTCTATAATATGTTTAAGCAACCAAGGATGCTGGTAACCGTTTTGATCTAGAAACCCACGGCAAAGGCCCTAAACCCCAAACCCTA